GCGCGAGGTGCTCGGGGAGAAGGGGCGCCGCATTCGCGAGCTCACGGCGTGCCTGCAGCAGCGGTTTCACTACAAGGAGGGTAAACTGCAGCTGTACGCCGAGCGCGTGGAGGTGCGTGGCCTCTCCGCCATGGCGCAGGCCGAGTCACTCCGCTTTAAGCTCTTGAGTAACCTGCAGGTGCGCCGTGCCGCCATGGGCATCGTCCGCCATGTGATGGAGTGTGGTGCGAAGGGATGTGAGGTGACGGTGGGGGGCAAGATCAAGGGACAGCGTGCCAAGAGCATGACCTTCCGCGACGGCTACATGATCAAGTCTGGTACGACCCACAAAAACTTCGTGGACGCCGCAACGCGCCACTGCCACCTGCGTGCCGGCACCATTGGCGTCAAGGTGAAGATCATGCTTCCCACGAGCATGAAGGGCGAGGATGAGATTCTCCCTGACGTGATCACCGTCATTGAGCCCAAGGAAACCGTTGCCTAATAACGGTGCCCACGGACACACTCCATTATATGATATCCATCTTTGCCCTTTTTGACGGATCCGTCTCTGATTTATTTTTATTTTTATTTTTGGCATTTTTGTCTTATCTACGCCTTTTTTTCTTTGGGGGGGGTGTGTGTGGATTGTATCGCCGTGGTGCTCTTGGAGAAGAATCCATGGTTCTGTTAATCCGCGCCTTTAAGGTCTGCAACAATTCATTTTTTCTTTTTTCTTTTTTGCTGGTTTATGTTTGACACGTAGTCCTTTACCCCTCTTCTTGTGGTGGAAGTCTCGCCTGTGGCCTGCGTCTTGTTGGCGAGGAGAGGATTCCCAGGGGGGAATAGTGAAGGTTGGCTCAAAGAGCAGCGTACAAACGCAGAGACAAATATATATACTGTGAAGGACAGTGGAGGGGAAAGGTGATTCTGGTAACGTTGGACGGGCAAGAAAGGGAAAGAGAGCATTGAAATGAGTAGGGACATGAAGGAGATGGTAAAGCGTCTGCGTCTTCAACCCATTTATCCACAAGTTGCTGATGACAGTCAGCAGCCAACTCATTTGTTTGGTGTTGGTAATAAAGATGAGTCCAAGTTAGTTAGTGGCACGACACGCGTAACTTTCCCTGCCTTAGCACATGACCAGGAGATGCCTAGTGGAACTCTCAACAGCATGCTGGCGATAACGAGTCGTGAGAGGTGGTCGTTTGGTGGTCATGGAGACCCATTTTGTTCCAGTATCAGTATACCGAATGAAGGTCTCTTCATGGACAGAGACATGGAAGTACCACTCTTGGAAGTTGGTCTCGGCTCGACGTCCCGCCGCTCTGAAACCGACGATACGGAGGGACAGGATGCGAAGGTGATGCAGAATGTGCTTCTAAGCGCATTCCCTGAATCGTTGAAGCATATCACAACCGATGAAGCATCTGTGGAGGCACTCACTTCTGAGAACGCGGAGAGTGCAACTGACAGTGGATATCATCGACAATTTACGGAATTTGCTCTCCGTGAGGTCTATTTTTTATTGATGTCTGCGGCTTCCGCCAACGAGGTGCGGCTGCGATACTTACTGCGACAGAATACGATGGATATGGACGAACTGAACTCAAAATCAATTCAGGCGGCTATAATGGAGGAAAGTACACGGAGTCTCTCTGAGTGGAGTGATGCATGGTATCAGACTCCGCATCCTAAAAGTGAGGTGCTGACGGCAGTCACTGTTCGTCCACCGCAGTTTGTAGCAGGAATGTTGTGGAATGGTAGCGATTCTTTCTTGCTTGGTGGCACAGCCTATTTACAGGAGGGCCGGATTTTGCAAATCCGGTTGCAGTGTGGCAACAGATCCACTGAAAGTGCCAGCACATCGCCAACTAATGGAGGGAGTTTTGTGACTTCCGATAACGCTTGTAGAGGAGGTGATGGGTGCAGTGGACAAAAGTGTCAGGTCCGTCTTCTACTTCGGGAGTTTATCTCTGTCTCCAAGGTTGGAATGGGATCCATGGTGCAAACCTTTTCACTCATTCCTGAGTATGTGCCTGCGAAGGTTACACGAAATCAGACTTTGCCATATGATCTTATTCAAGCAGTTTTAGATATGTGCTCACCTGGGGCGGTGTCACGTGCCTTTTCACTTCAAATGCTGCTGCCAAGAAACTTGCGGAGTGGAAACAAGTTATCCGCTTTTGACGAGACGACGGAATCCTTTGGTGTTGGCGGTCCTACGATGGTGGGGTGCTCATTTGGCGATAGGGAATCAGATAGTAATGAAATTGATGGGGGTTGCACCCTTTCGCTTACTCGGTCTTCGTCATCCATAGCACATACAAGGTGTTCTATTTCTGCGAAGAGGTTTAGTCGTCAACCGTTAGGAAATGAGGCGTACCTGGTGTACACGAACCCTAAGCTCTATGCGGTGGTCATGAAATATTCTCCAGCCGTCCTCACATCTCATACAAATGCTATTCGTGAATACCTTAAATACAGCCAACGCTTGCGTTTTCAACGGCAGATACAGCGATTGCTTGCTGCTGTTTACACTATACAACGCTTTTTTCGTCATTGTATTGCGAAGAAGGGACGTGCAGTGAATCGCATGCTGAAGCGCTGGGGCCAGCTTGAGCTGGATAGCAGAGAACAGTTGAAGAAGTACACACTTTCTCCTGCCACAGTCGATCGTATTGGTTTTATTGTTGGCTCGGTGCTGTGGCAACACATTGTAACAACGAAGGAGTACAAGATGGCCATCTTGGAGGAACAATTTTCCTTGCGACGAGCGGCGTATCGAAAGTGGTGTGCGCAGCGCCTGGAGGAGGACCGAGCAAAGTGCACAAGTGCTCGAAGTGCTGATATATCAGTAAGCCTTGTGTCGGACGCGGGGTGGACTGAGAAGGTAAGCAGTACCACTTGTTCCGAGACGGGGATAACGTCCACGGTGCATGGAGGAGATATGATCGATGTAACCTTGGGGAGGTCGCACCATCGATGGATTTCAAAATGGGAGTATGTGCTGCACGCGCGCTTTGGGTGGTACATTGATCCCGAGGAGCTGCTGCAGGAGAGTCATCGCCGTTTGTTGATTTCTCTGCGGAGCTCTATCTTGCAAATGGCAGATGTACAGGAGGAAATGAAGAAAAAGGCGAACATATCTTTAGCTCTTCTTTGATTCCTAGAGTGGCGATGCGTTGATGTTGAAATAATGCACCAGGTGGAGACGACAATTGTGGGGCCAGTCAGTCATTATACATGTCTAGTCCTCTTTTGTCGTATGCATGTATGAACATTTTTTTTTTTTTTGGTTGGTTTGCCTCTCCTTCAGCCATGGTTGTTTCTAGTTTCCTTTTGCAGCTTCCATGTTTATTAGTGGTGTATTACGTTTTTCTAATTCTGTTGTCGTTTGACCCTGGAGCACTGCTCGCATTCTTCTTGGTTCTACTGTTGTTGTATAATTCTCACCATGAGAGGGGTTGTGTGTGCGGCTGGCTGTGGATCTCTCTGCATGTCTGCGTGTGTTCGCCTGTGAGCTCTTGTCCAGATGTCTGGAGTGAGGGAATTTGAGCATGGCGTGTTAAGGCACTCAACACCAGCAACCGCATGCAGAAAGGAAGAATAATGGCTACGCTGATGCCAATACATGGACCATAAGTTGCTCCCACCTCATCTTCACCAACGGGTGTAGATCCTCGTGATATACCATGTTTTTTTTTCTTTTTCTTTTATGTTGTGGTGGTAACATCGCCAGATGCAGGGAAAGCGTCTTGCATGCAGTGAAGGGGCGGATTCACCTCTTTCCTCTTCGAAATTGACGGCGTTGCGTCACACGCGTCTTTTGCCGCGCAGCATTCCTTCCTCCTTCGCCCTGCGGAGTCAGTTGATTGGCGCAGAGTTTTGTGCTTCACTCTCCGCTGCAATGCTGCAAGTGGCGCCAAACGCTCATAGTGGGGCCTCGCCACGTGGCGTGCAGTCTTCCACAACGGCAACGGAGGCCACGTCACTCGTGACAGCCCTCCTGTATGACCTGTCGGCCCACTATGGGTCTCACACGCTGCGCAGAGCGGCAAGTTATCCGTTGGGGCCGTGCTACAGAAGCCGCCGGCGGCGAGTGTCGAGGGGTCAACATGATGGACGCCGGCAGCTGTGGTCGTTGCGTGCAGCCCACCGTATGTGGTGTCGCCGCTGCGGGGTGTATCTTGTGGCAGGGGAGACGAAGGCACTGCTGTCCCAGGTGACGCCCAGCTCGTTTCAAGCCCTTGAAGACACTGATGGTGTGACTGCTTTTGACGTGGAGGGGGTTAGGAAAAATAGCAGATTTACCAGAGGAACCTATGTGTGCCGCCGCTGCCTGGACAATGAGTGGTCAGTATGGAGGAAGAAGGGTTGTATGGCCACTCCACCGCTACAATCAACACCTCTTGCTTCTCTTCCAGTTTCAGAAGCGACAAACGAACAGTCGCCGTCAACAGCGCTGTCTCATGCCTTAGACACCATGCGTGGGCCAATGGTCGCACGACTTGCTTTCAGTGTGGGACACACGCGGAGGCGGAAGCGGAAGCGCAGTAAACGTGGAAGCGTAACGAGGACTGCCACGTCAGCCGTGGAGAATGCGTCTAGCAGTCTAAAGGCAGCTGTGCGTGCGGTTCCCAAAGGCTCCTTGTTGCGCGGTAAGAGAACTCGTACGGCTGCCTCCAAAGACCCGTCCCCGCTCGGGAAGGAGCGTCCCAAAGTCGATGTTCGTAGTGTCCAACGAGACACTAGCAACGCGGTTCCGGTGCAGAAGGCGGCTTGGGCTGAGGGTCCTCCAGCGACTTTGGCAGTTGCCTCGTGTGGGGTACAAACAAAAGTGACGACAGCTGAAAGTGCAATGAAGCCGCAGCAGCCCAAGGATGTTCGAAGGCCAGCAACGAAAGTTCGTCGTCCTGCTTCAAAAAGTGGGAACAACTCGAATGGAACTCCCTCTTCTGCGACCTCTTTTGCTGACACTCTTTTAAGACTAGGTCTGTAGCAATTTTTTTTCTTTTCTTATTGTGCTATTGTTGTTGTTAGCATCTCATTCCGTTTCTTTTTTGTTTTATGTGTGCATATTTGTGCCAATATTTTCGCATATATATACACACACCTTCTCTCTCTATTTCTTGCTTCCATTCACCCACGCACCCGAACACGTGTTTTTGTGTTCAATTTTTTTTTTTTGTTTCGTGATCCACGTATAAGACGTGTCAGCCTGATGTCAATGCCGCTTTCATTTCACGCCCACTCAGTGTCGCCTATGAGTATTAATTTTGACGCCTTTGAGGCGTACGCCGCCGGACTTTCTACAGAGGAAGCACTGCAGTACATAATAAACGCGTGTGCGATATGGCTCACCGGTGGTGACAAGAATGAATTCGACAAACCGCCAGGAAATGGCTCTGTAGGCAACCGCTCCCCTGGCGAGGCGGAGGCTCGGCGGAACACTGAGGAGGAGCTGCCGCTGCATCTCAGCTGCTCCGGTGTCGGTGGACTGGCGCTCGAGGGGGCGGAAATGACAACTGCAACAGCGGGTCTAACACAAGGCAAGGAGGAGGAGGAGGAGAAGCATACAAGCGAAACAGCGTTCAGCAATCGTGGGAATGATCCGGCGGCGGATTTACTTAGCCGACGCTTTTTTGCTGATTCTGGAAGTTGTACATTTCATCGAGAACTTCAGCGGGTTCTTTCAGACATGGTGAGGGGGGACAGCTCTATTTTGAGACAGGAGGTGGTAGAGCAGTATGTTCTTTTTGACATGTTTCGTGAAAGATACTTGGCCACCCCCTATGCCTTCCTCTCGAGCTACTGCATTCCAATGACATTGAAGGATCGTCGTCGCATGGTGGAAGTATTTTATGGAGTTGACGAGGTGGTGCTTAAAACGTTTTTTGGTGATCGGATGCACAAACTGGAGCTTGAGCGAGGATCAGAAAAATGGTTTTTCTTTAGGTCAGGGGCCAGTCGCGGTCAAAACATACAAAAACTCATAGAAGCAGGCATCAGCGAAGGGTCGTTAAAGCGTCAGTGGGAAAATCTAAAGTGGGTGTGCAATTTTCTTGCCTCCGCCTATCGTGGTCGTGATGGGATGCTGATTCCCTACACCACACCTCTACTCACCGCGCTTCAGCAGTGCTTCGCCCTACGTGGAGCTCTTGGGATGCACTACGGGACGTTTGTGTTTGGCTTTGAGCATCAACTGAATGGCCGTTTCTGGAACTCGCTGTCGTATTCAGAGTGTACCACTGCCTGTCAAGCGTTATCGTTGTGGTGTGATGCCTCGCAGCTGATGTTACGGAAAGAGTTCTCTGCCCAATGTGCCTGTATCGCTCGGTTGTTGGACGAAAATCGTGTAGTGTCGGAAATGCACCAGCTTGTATTTGGTGAAGCGATGCGCTCAAGATGGCAAGTGCAGTTTGACGAAGTTCAACGGGCAATCACAATTAATACAGGTGTGGGGACGAGCGGAAGTCCTTATGGGTCTACTTTGGTGGGGGCGACATTGCCATCACCCACGACAACGGTTCCGCATGCGCTTCTGCCACGGAACACAAGTACAGTGAGGCTGGATACTGAGGCAAACTTGGGTCTGTCAGCTTCCTTGACAGCGACTGCTATATCACTCAAGTCCCAACGTTTATGTACAAACTCGTTTCACACACAGACTGTAGCACATATGAACCTTGGGGGCCCAGCTTCTAGTACCAGCAGTTGCCCTGTTACAGCAGCTTCTGCTGCTGCTCCTGCCGCGCTCAATATCAGCAACATGACTCAAGGTGGTGCAGCTACGGGAAACATGCAGGCATCCTCGTCGCACCGCCCTCATCTCTCATCCAATGGCGCCTTTACACGACTGTTTCTTCAGGAGTTTCCTTTCATCATGAAATTTTTGTCTCGTATGGCCACAACGATTGGGAATTCAGGAGGATTGGCGGAGGCATTAGACCTGTTTTACAGCAGAGTCTACCTTCATCTTTGGAACTTGGGATACCGCTCACAAAGCAAACAGTTTGTAGAGTATAGTAGTCTGTCTCAGGGGATTCCTTTACCCGAGTTGGATGGCTTTGCGGAATTAGGAGAAATAAGGGAGCCCTATTGTGCCGGGAGTAACAGTAGCGTAAAAAGACCGCTTGCGAGTACGGCGTTTGTGCGGGGTGAGGAGGCTTCCACCAGCAACTCAGCGAAGATGCATCCGTCGGAAACAGAAGAAAAAATTGATGTACTCGCGAATCTGCCGAAGAACGCTGTGGTCAACACTTCGCTTGTGGGTCACGCAGTCGCGTTTTCACCCCGGCGTCCGCCTATCCCGGCATCACCACATCAATTGCAGTTAACTAATCATAATGGTGCCAACCATGTTGCTGGGGCTTTTGACAGCCGAATTTATCTTTGTGAATTATGCATGCTTTTGAGTTTGTTGCCAAACGTGTTTAGTAATCTTACAACCCTCACAGAGGAGAATCATGCGGCATGTGACACCGAGTTTGCCAACTTTGTTCTGATCCTTAAAGTCTTGGTGCAGATTCATATGGCCTCCGATGACGGTTAACTGTAGTTGGAAAAAAAAAAGAGAGATAGAGGGAAAAGAATCGCAGTCCGCCTAGCTCCACACGATTTTTATTTCTTGTGCAAACGCTTGCACGCACACATCTGGATTACGCTTAATACATTATTTATTTATTTCCTTTTTTTTTTCATTCTTCCTTTGTGAGCTTTTCTCCTCGTGTGGGCGAACATCTTGAAAGGAACCAGCGTGCTTTGTCAGGAAGAAGAGGCAGATTGGGTGTGGAAACGCAAGGAATCGTGGAGAGCAACAATTTTTATTTTCTCTCATAGAAAGAGGGAAAGAGGAGGAGGGAGAGGATAGAAGGGCAACATACGAATCAAACCATATACATATACATATACATATATATATATAATATAATATACATTCATTAAGGAAAAAAGAAAAAAGGAGGTGAAAAACAGGCACAATAGAGAAGGTAAAGAGCTCAATTTTTCATTCTCCCAAAAGGTACTGCTACAAGTACATTGATACATGGATATTAATATACACGCATAAACATTAGAATATCGTGGTATAAGCAGCAATGCTCAGTGGAGCACAGAACATTTTTTTGGATCGTGATGGGCACGGCGAGGAGCGTGGCCCATCCACTTACGTGAAGCGTTTTGGTGGTGGGAGGCCGCGCGACCTGAACGCTTTGACATTGGAGTCGCGGCCATCCAGCCCCAGTCGTGCGCAGTCGTCGGAGGTCATGCTGCGTAGCAGGCTCGGGTCCCGGCAGTGCTTGCCAACGACGCAGTTCAGTGGAAGTGGGGGGATATCCGTCTCTAAACATAGTTTTTGTCGCAAGGATAAGCGTCTCTTGCCGTTGCTGCATCCAAAGGATGAGGAGGCGTTTTTTCATTCCCCGCTGAGCGTGACACCGAATATTGAACACTGCCGAAATGTTACTGCAGATGTTGAGGATTCTGCTAACTTCAACCCACAAGAGACTGTGGAGGATGATGCAGTTGCATCACAACAAGGCGTTTGGACGCAGCCTTTGGAAGAACGTTTTTCGCTGGACGACCTACGGCGGCTCATGCACTTTTTCTCAGCGGATTCAGATGCTTTTGGAAACAACACTTTAGAGTCAGTGGAGGGAACAACAGGGCTCCGACGTGGGGATAGCATCGGGACGGAAACAACCAAGGATGTTTTGCCTCTGCTAAATGGATCGTCAGGGAGGGAGGCGCCGGTGGAGAGTGCTAAACAATCCCTAGAGTTAGAGGAACAACCGGCCCCATGTGAGGAACAGTCCCAGGAACATCACCCAAAAAGATCTTTTCAAGGCCTTACTCATACTCGTTTACCACAGCGAACTGAAGAAGAATTGCAGCGTGTACTCTTGTCATCGGATCCGGTGAATTGCGGTTTGGAACATGATGCGTACACTCGCGTTTTATCCGAAACGGAGTTTGCGCAGGCTGTGAAAATTATTATTCCTAGCGCTACTGATGCGGAATTATGGACCTTCTTAGGAAGGTTGACTATGAAGCGAAGGGGTGTACAACGTGGGATGACTTTTCAACGTTTTTGGTGTCTCGAAGTCGTCACCGCTCTCAGGTTGCTCATGGACCTGTTTCAGAGTTACTCGCAACGCCTGAACCAGATTATTGCCCTCCTTGTTCGCGGCACATAACGGGAACTTGCATGGAGTCTGATAAACGGCGTAAGCTTCTATTGACCGGGGGATCTGAAGGTACAGTACGGGCATGGGACCTCGATACTTTGACAAGCCGTGGAATTGTCTTTGCAGGGGATTCCTGGGTCGTTGGTGTGCACTGGGCAAATCAGCTTCAAAGCATTCTTATTGTGACAGTAGATCGTAAGGTGATTCTTTTGGACTCCAAAACCTTGGAGGTAAGCCGCCTCTACCGTGGGCGTGCGATAGTTGACACCATGGATGGCTATTTATACGCTCATGATAGTGTGCAGGCAGTCAAAGTAGGAGGGAAGATGAATGCAAAGGGAAGGAAATTTGGTTCAAGGGGTGCGGGGGATTTTGGTAGGTCCTCCTTTAATGGCAGCAGTGGTCTGAGTCCAGGACGCTTCCCTGTAGGAGGTGTTGGTGAAGCAAAGAAGCAAAGAGCGTCTGCTTTTGCAACAAGCTGGGCATCATCTAGTACAGGTCCTTTTGCACAATGTCGTGTGGAAGAGTGTATGCTTGCGGGTCTTGTGGATTCTGTGTCATGTTCACTGTTTCATCATTCCCAGCTTCGGGAAGACGTGTTACTTCTCGCAACCGTAGTGGGAGAAGTTCGATTCTACGTGATTCCGAAAATCTCGCTTAAGGTGCTATCCCCATACGTGGTTGTCCGATTGCATGAAAAGAGCATCAACAAAATGAGTTTCCTGTTTGATAATAATTCACTCCTCACCGCGTCAGATGATGGTGTAGTGAAAATGACTTCCTTGGAAACAGGTGCTCTCTTACGAGTCTTCTTTTCCTCTGGAGCTGGTCAACACTCTGCCGTGCATGATTTTGCCGTGAATACGCAATGGCGTCTGCTTGTGACTGTGGGTCCAGAACGATACGGTGTTGTCTGGGACTTTTCGCATGATGCACCGTTGGCCATCCTAGATGCGCACAATTGCCCATGTCGTTGCTGTGCAGTACACATGAAACAGAATCAAATCTTTACCGCAGGCATAGATGGATCGATTTTTATCTTTGACACACAAGGGTACCGTTTGATGCAGGTAATAAATCTACACAATGTTCACCCTCAGTGTATTGTATACGATGAAATTAGAATGCGGCTTCTATGTTTGGCTTCTCATCCTTATTACCATGGGAAACAGCGTCGTACGGCGTTTACTTGTTCAAACAAATACCAAGGTCATATGACGTCTATGGTAGGTGTGATATACACCAATACATATGATCTTATTGTCACTATTGATGTAGAAGGATTAGTCATGACATGGAAGAGATCTAATGGGGCTCCTATCTTTGCTTTTCAATTGAAGGATTTCTCGGATTCCGCTGTTATGAATGCAGCACGACTTTCTGCCTTTACACTAGACGGCTTAGAACGTCGATTGTTGACTGGATTTCAGAATGGGGCTGTGGCTGTGTGGAACTTGGTGAATGGACAGACGACAAATGTTATCACAGCAGCCACAGAGAGTTTTGCCACAACCACTTTAAGGCCAGAGGTGACGTCGCTTGGGTCCCTTATGCGGGATGGAAACACGTTTTTATTTTTTGCAGCGGCAGGACATCTCTTCTCCACGAGTGAGTCTAGCACCTTCACCATTGCGAGCGCCACCAAGTGGAAGGTACCAGAGAGCTACGGGGATATTCTATTCATGTTGCCGGTGTCTTTGCAGATTCTTGTTTGTGGAACCTCCTCGGGTGCACTATTTTTTTATCATGTAATGGCTGAGGGTCAGGTGGGATCCGCACTCTGGGTGACGGAGCCTACGGAAACCCCGCACCGTCCTCTATCAATGCTATTAGAGAGGCGTCGCAGTGATGGACACAGTTCCATCGTTACATCGCGTATCATGGCGATATTCCCATTGCACGCAGTGGGACCACATATTCTTATGGTTGTTCATGCCGATGGCACAGTGGTGTTGTGGCACACTCTGCGACGGCTTTTGATGGAATCTGTTAGCGTGCGAAAGGCCTTCCCAACAGGAATAGGAGAAACAGGCTTAGCAAGTATGGCTATTGATGATTCAAACCAGTGTTTTGTATTTGCTGATGATCGTGGTAACATTCATGTTTGTAGCCTTCAGTTACGGGCGGTACATGATAAGGACTCTCTACGACCAGCGCATATGTCTAACAAACCAAGCCGCACAGGGAGACCGATGGCGGATTGGCCAGGTTCTCCCTTTAACAGCACCATGCTGGCAGAATTCTCCATGAATTCGAATGCAGAAAAACAAACGAACTCTCCTGGACAAGCCCGTGAGAAACATCAATCAAACGGGCTGGAACAGGAGGTGGATGAGGATAAAACCCCTTATGTATTTACTAGATTCTGCCAAGACTACGCGTTTCATTGTGGGTTTTCCTCTGTCTCAGGGGTGTGCATTATCGATGCACAAACACCGCGAGCTTCAAGCGCAGTGACAGCAACACCGACAAGAAGAGAAACTGCTTTATCCCAGCCCAAAGTAGAAATGAAAAAGCAGGTACCTAAGTCTTTGACTCAAGGGGAAACAAGACCCCGCACCACTGACATCTATGGTCAGACGTTGGATGTTGCTCTCTCCGAAACTCCCACATCACACTTACGCTCAAAAGATATTATTGTGGTGTCATCTGGCGCCGACAACTTTACACGAGTGTTTACGCTGGACGGGATGGTTGTTGGAGAATGTGGCATGAACACATGGACACTAGGCAAAGAGTCAACATATGAGTTCCTTGGTGTGAAATCGGCGAAGCGACTTTCGGCATACAACACTTGTCTACAATCAGTTGATTTTCTTCAGGAAACTCCGTCAGAAGGAAAGAATTGTTTAGTAGGCTCTCGAGGGACACGCTTTCTACGTGGCACATTAAGAGCAGGCATACTTCAAGGGGACATGCTCTCAACGAGTGATTTTTCCACGTACCACTCTACGACAGACATCTTGGAGCCTAGCCCCGTCCCCATGATGCAATCTGCTGCCGGTACTGCGCCACCGGAAGGCAGTCAAATGGAATTAGTTACTATGCGACCACTGAGTGCGGAGTTGCAGGAATGGACGGAAGGGGGAAAACAATCACCACAATCTCAAGACTACTTAAGACAGCGATTTCTTCCACAGAAAAAGGCAACCTCCCCTGATGAAGCTGTCACTCTATCCACACACATTCGCTCGCGGCGTTTAAGAGAGGAATTTTTTCAGGGTCTTGTCAAGAGTGAGTTTATTCCCGAATTGCGTGGATTGCCTACGGCTGACACTGAAGAAGACTCAACCGTGTCTAGGGCACAGCCCTGTGCAGCAAAGAGTCCCAAAGGCGTTGTACGGATTAAGCAATCGATTGAATCTCCTTTAGCCGCTTCCAGTGCCTGTAACCCCAATAGTGATAATGTAAACAGTAATCGTACAGGTTCTGTGAATGCTGCTGCGGCTGGCAATAATTCAACGGAAGAAGCATTGTCGTCGCCGGAAGCACGAAGCCACGCTCCACCTGTTTTTGTTCCCGGAGGAACTTCTTTGCATTTAGGTCGAGCAACAAAAACACAGGCAGGAACAGTCGCACGGAAGTGGGAATCACATGGAACAATCGATACGGGCTCGTTACAGTTCCCTGCTTCATGCCCCCCTCGACAGAGTTCCGCGTTCAACAACACGACACTCTCTGCGGAGAATGAGTCTCAGCGACAGGAGCTTATTCAAGAACACCTGGAGGGCCAAAGACGTATGCTGCTCTCACTTGGACGTGCGGACCCTGTTCTTGAAAACTTAATGTCCCGCGGCAACCCTCTGCATAACGGTAAAACCTCCTTCGAAGTCGGGAAATTAGGGTCTGACACCCAGCTGTTGGCCACGCGGCGAGCTCATACCTTCTCCATGATGGAGACGCGGGACCGAATTGCGCGGATCACATCACGGCTACAGTTGTGTCCTATAACGCCAATTCAACCTCTGTCAGGAATTGGATCGCGCGAAAACGTCACTACATTGAAAGATGGGAAGAAGGACACACATAGTGCCACTCATATATGATACGTAGGGCAGGATTTGGAGAGGGAAATGAGTAGGTGATCCGCCTTGAGTCTCCAAACTTTGCTTCAACAAATGTAAATAAATCTATTATGTGTGCATTTGCCCTGTTCATCCAGGTTTTATTTTTTATTTTTATTTTGTGGTTTTTGTTTTTGTTTTTTGCTTAATGTAATGCATGTGCATGCCTGTCTGATGACGATGAGGCTTTTTCTCGTGCGTGCTTCCTCTTTTTGCTCGGCTCATTGTCTTCTCTTTTTTGGCCTCATGTCGTGAATACGCATCATTGCGTCAAATGACTGGGAGAGTGGCCTACGCCTTGGTATCGCTAACGACCGTGGAAGCTACTGGAGTTCTTTCTCTTCGGTTTTGTTTTTTGTGCGTTTCTCTCTCAATCTTTTACATGGTACTGAGTAGTCAGTACATTTAAAACGGAGAGTGAGAGCAGAAGAACTTTTGGGGCCACAGTTGGAGTTAAAGGACAAATGGTGGACACACTCAAACCGATCATTACGTCCTTGTTGGACACAGATGCATACAAATTACACATGCAGCAGGCTGTTTTCCACTTCTACCCCTCAGTTCACGCGGCTTTTGAGTTTCATTGCCGCAATAAAGATGATCATTTTGGTGACGCGGCCGATACAATACGTGAACAAGTTTATCTCATGCAAAATATTGCCCTCACAGAGGATGAATATGAGTACTTGGCGTCGAAACGATTTCTACGAAAGGACTACTTGGATTGGCTTCGCAACTTTCGGTTTAACCCAAATCAGGTAACAGTGCGAAGTGTGCCGACAAGCGATGGGGATGAAATGGATCTTGCCATCACCATTGAAGGTCCGTGGGTAGAGACAATTCTTTGGGAGGTGCCGCTGCTGGCCGTTGTGAGTGAAGTGGTGCATCAACGCCGCACACCGAACGTTGGAGTGACGGAGGCGCTGGCGCATCTTAATAAAAAACTGGAGACATTATTCGACCACACGCCTCTGGATACGATTGAGAGATTGACAGTCTCAGACTTTGGAACCCGACGTCGCTTCAGCTTTGCCGTGCAGGAGGCGGTTGTAAGGACGCTCCAGCAACATCCCAAGTTTGGTCGTTACTTACTTGGCACGAGTAATTACCTGCTGGCGAAGAATCTGAATCTTCCGGCAGTTGGCACTCAAGCACACGAATGGTTTCAGGCTCATCAACAGTTGGCTCCCACGTTGCGTGACTCGCAACGGGTGGCCCTGAAGCAGTGGCTGGTGGAGTACCCACATGATCTTGGTATTGCACTCACAGATTGCATCTCCATGGACAGTTTCTTGCATGACTTCAGTAAGGATCTTGCTGATGCGTACGTTGGCCTCCGTCATGATTCCGGCGACCCTGTCAAGTGGGGGGAAAAAGCCGTGCAGCACTACCGCAAACTTGGCATTGACCCAAAAACTAAGACACTTGTCTTTTCTGACTCTCTAGATTTGGAGAGGGCCGTGATGCTGCACCGTATCTTTACTAGTGAGGTGAATGTCGTGTGCGGAATTGGCACACATCTTTCGTGTTCCATCCCTGGTGTGCGTGGGCTCAATATTGTTATCAAGATGACTGGCTGTGAGGGGAAGCCCGTTGCAAAGTTGTCAGATACCCCTGATAAAACGATTTGTCGCGACAACCAATTTGTTTGTGAGCTGAAGCGTGCGTTTGGTTTGCCAATGGCGGCTGCTGCGGCTGCGACCGCTGCGGCCGCTGTCGCAGCGGCCGCAAGCGACGACAGAATTCGCCGCCGATAAAGTGGCCACAGAGATGAAACAAATTGTTGCTTTTCTCTCCCTCTACACATATTTACGCACGTGTGCGCAGGTTGTTAGGAAATAAATGAAGGCTCGAAGCAAACCAAAAACCAAACAAAAAATGAGGACCCTGCGAGAGTGGTGTGAATGCAATTTGATTTGTTTCTGCATGCGTTGCTTTTGTTTGGTACTTCTGTGCTCAGATGACTCCAAGCTGAGGTTTAATGGCAAAATACTTTTTTTTTTGTTAAAATAAAGATGTCTTTGTGAGACAGGGAAGTGGGAAAGCAAAGAAGGCAAGAACATAGTCAGTGTGGTAAGTAGCACACAAGAGAGCACAAAAGAAAAGAAGTGAGTGGGAAAGAAAGAGACGACGAATATATTGTGTTGATTGGCGTCTGGGGCATGGGGGCGTGGAGACAAGTATCCTTGCCCTCACGCACATCCCACGGACATGTATGCATGTCAAAAGAAGAGCTTCTCTCATCCAATGAATATAGATGGGTTTTGTACGCAACACGGCATGGCTTGAGAAAAGAAGAGTAACGAGGTAAAGATAAGGAGGCATAAAAGGATGAAAAACAAACAAACAAACGAACATGGAGCAGAATGTGTCAGCCAGGCTTACAGCAAGGAAACAGGGAACAAGAAGGGGAAAAACAAGGGAACTGCTGCTTACTGACGTGCTAGTCTTCTTCGTCCCTCCACATTGAAGTGACAAGAGCAATTGAGACTCCCTAATACACTGTGCTTGTTTCAATTAACCCGTAAGGCATCGTACTCCTCAGGTTGAGTCTCTCTACCTTCGCTTTTGGAGAACCAGCCCGCTCATCTAAAGCCATTGGAGCACACTGTATAATAAAAAAGTGTTTTGAAAAAGATACAATTGTAGGGATATTTTTATTTAATTGTTGCGGATATATATAGTTTGTGGGCGCGTATATTCATGGTGCGAATGACATTTATTTCGTTCTTAACTCTGAAGGAGGTAGAAGTAAATGGAATGGGGAAAATGGGGTTTTGAAGTGGGAAAGTCGAGCTTCGTATTCTTCACGTGCTATGCATGTCTCTATTTGCCTACTTGTGTGCACACAGGTAGGGGGACGAGGGGTGCTGAAAGCTAAGAAAGATGGGACGATGATCAGCAAAGCTAAGGGAGGCGGCAAGAAAGTGAAAAAGGAAAATGAACAAAGGATAACAACAACAACTGCGGTGTATTATTTGTCTGTTGTAACTCTGTGATCTGTGATTCGTTTTTATATGGTTTAATTTTACTTTTTTGTGCGTGCTTGACTGTATTGTTATTATTTTTCTTATGAGTACAGGGCGAAGCTTTTTTTCTTTTCTTTTGCTTTGTATGTTGCCCTTTTTGTTTCTGTTTCTTTACCTTGTTTTACAGTGCCTTTTTTTTTTCTATCCCCTGTTCTCCTCCCCCCATTTTTTTTTTTTCTTGTTGCTTCCCTGCAGGTTATTCCTTGCGTGGAAGGCCTACCCACGCAGTGAACCATATGCGCATACTTCTTTTTTTTCCCCCTGTGAATTATGTCATGATGTCAAGGGAGAAGGGATCGACATACCCGGCGCTTCGCCTTTTTTTTTTTTTTTGTCTTTGTTTCCTTTTTGCTACTTCGTTGTTATCGTTTCTTCCTGCACGCATGTCTTCTTTGTGGCTCACTATCCTTTTCCTGTGTCTCGTCTTGCTAGAGGAATACGAGGGAGGAATCGGTTGTGGACAGTCTCTGTGTTGTGTTAGTTGTCCAAGACGTTCCATGTTAGAGGAGGCTGTGCTTGCTGGAAAGGCAGTGCAGCTGTGGGAGTTGCCAGCCTGTTTGCACACTAACGAGCAGTTGCTGCGTGATTTCTTTGCACGTCACTTTAACCGAACCGCCGCAGCTCGCATAAAAACTGTGGTGTTCAGCAACAATAGTGGGAGTGTCGCGGAGAGAAGGACCGGTGGGCCACCTCGAGTGGGGGGCGAGGCCACAGTTGAGTTTTTTGAACCTGAGGGAGTTGAGTTGGTGTTGTCCCGGATCATCCAGCACGAGCTCGTCGAGCAGGACGGGTCCCACCATGTGGAGTTGAGGCGGGGGTTTATTTATTTGGGTCAAGACCGCATGCTGGTGGAGGGCGTCGTACATCTTCTGCGGTCATCGTCGGCGGAGGCTAACACCTTGCACGAAAACAATTCATATGCCGCACCACGGAAAGGCGGAAAGAAGCCACGTGTAAAGGGAGGGGACCATGTTGCTGAGGCCGATGCTGCTACAACCCATACGCCTGTTGATGTCGCTGATGAGAGGCGCAAAAGCAATAAAACATTTTCGGGGAGCGGTGGGATGAGCAGTGAATCGGAGGAAGAGGAGGAGGAAGGAGCGGAAAAGAATGATGACGATTGTAGTGATCAGGATGGGAATGAGAAAGCTGAAGGCGGGTGCCAAAGTGCAAAAAGAAGCGTCGAATTCCAGCGGCAAACGCGTTCCGTGGGCGAGGTAGATGCTGTGGTGCTTTGCATGACATTTGTGTGCGTCTTTGATTGCCATCAGCAAGGTGGTGGTGGTCGGTCACGTCACGACGATGAGGCTGACACTGGCATTACTACGCACGTCGTATTCCAGCTCTTGAGGGGTACCTGTTTTGTCAGGAAGGTTGTCATATTTAACCGCGAGGATCTGCGCGAGAGCGGCAGCGCTGAGAAGCGTCGGATAGTTCGCGCTCTCGTTGAGGTGGGCGAGGAAGAGGTTGCAAAGCGGGTGGAGGAGGAGTTTCACGGAGCAACACTGGAGTTGATGCGCTCGGGGTCGCGGGGGGAGGAGGTGGAGTACCGTCACCGCATATATGCGCGGTATAAGGATGACCCGCGCACGCACCGACAGCTTGCTGTGCCTCTGAACACACAAACGGCGCTCAGCGTCACACCGCGGAACATTGCCATGATGGGACCTGTGTTTCGGCGCGAGAGATGTGATCGTGAGGCACCTGAAAAGGGCGACATGTCGCGGGAGGCACCAAGCGAGAACGGTGCAGCGGCCCACAACAGGCAACAAGAGCAAGAACACTACAATCAATATTATTATCATCGGGACGATAGTAATATGGTGAGAGGTAATGATAATAATGGGGGGGACCAGGCCACCAATAGAAGACGGCGTGAGAGGTCAGGTGGGGAGAGACATCGGCGCCGCTCTAGGCGACGTTCAAACGACCGAGAGGATTCGGCGAGACGCCGTCGCCAAAGTCGTGAGCGCTACAATCATCGTCAACACACCCATGATGATGAGGAGAGGCGAGTTGATCGCCACGGTGCACCCGCCGTGGCGGACAACGGTGTACGACGGCCAGGGACAACGTCCAGCAGCACCTTCGAACACCACCATCAACTCTGGCGACAGTGGCAGCTGCAAAAGCAGCAAGAGTTGGAACTACAGAAGAAAACTGAGCCGTATGCCTCCTCACGCGTGTCCCCTCATGGGAGTGCGGGAGACACTCTAACCCAACACCCGGACGTGAAGGACCCATTGCCCCACGGATGGCGAGCCGTTTACTCGGATGAACATAAGCGATACTACTACGTGCACCGCGACTCAGTGACGGGAGTGGAAATCTCTTCTTGGACGGTTGCACGCATGCCATGATGAGGTTTAGTGAAACGTATCTGTGCATTTTTATGGGTTGGACTCTTGCCTCTTTCAGCTAAGTGGAGGTTTCAAGGAGCATTTAGCGGTGAGTCGAAGGCGGAAGCAATGAAAATGAAAAAAAAAAGTAACTATATAAACTGGAAAAGAGATGGCTTTGAAAATGTTTTGCAAGTAAAGACGTACATTATATATATATATATATATATATACGCTTGTGCTTTCATTTATCGGATGGGGTTTCTTGATAGATTGATGGGGCACATCCATTGTGTACATTGCATAGGCGCATTCAACATTCCGTTGATATTTATCGTCTTGTTTGTCATCTTCCGCTGCTGATACATTTTGTGTGTGCATACTTTATCGTTTGAGCAGTTGTTGTTTTCTGCTCTTATGTGCCTTTTTCTCTTTTGATTTATTTGTTTGCTCCGTGAGAAAAGGAATGCCGGGGCAGTTGTTGGTGTTGATTGGATCGGATGGCAAGCAAGCGACCGTAAGTCGCTCTGTGGCGACGCAGGCCTCATTGGTGCTGCGAGACTTACTTGACGGAAGGGAGCCCACACGAAACTTGGAAATCATTGCCGGTGTGACAAAAGATCAGGGGAACGAAGCGTCTTTTGGCCAAGTGGTGACCGCAGAGAACACTGCCACCACCACCACCACCACCACCACCACGGCTGGCGGGAGCGGTAGTAGTAGTGTCACCAATATTCCAGCTATCGAGCTGCCGTTTCCCTACTTTACAAGTGATTTGTTGCAGCGAATTTGTGCGCACATGACGTACCGGTATAATTATCAGCCACCAATCCGAGATAGCAAAAAAGGCAAACGAGGTGAGTGACGACACTGGCAGCGGTGGCGGTGGTGAGGCTGTTGTGGGGCTTCCTGGACGAAACGTTATGCGCGAGATCCCTCGGCCAATGGTGTTGCCACTATCTGAATACCTTGACCCCTACGATCGCTGCTTTATTGAAGACTGGGATGAGGCAACGACGGTGATGATGGTGAAAGCCGCAACCCTTTTAAATTATGAGGAATTATTGTATTTGGCTTCCGCAAAACTGGCTGTGTATTTATCAGAAAAGTCCGTTGAGGGTATTAGGGCGCTCCTGGGAGTAGAGAGTGACTTTTCACGGGAGGAGGAAGTCGAGCTGAAGAAAGAGATGGAACGGGTGCTGGGTGAACGCTAGTAGGTGGGGACAAGGAAGGAGAGGAGGAGAAGGATCAAATGGAAATCTTCTTCCCTCAGTGTTTACCTACCTGCGTGGCCTATTATTCTGACCATGTGCACGGCACCATATGTTGTGTGTCTATTTTTTTTTTTATTCTTTCTGCGTTTACACCGCGATTGCTACATGGAAGGCATTGCTCTTCTTGTTATTACTCGGACGAAGAAGAAGAAAAATATACTTTGGTGTTTTTTTCCTGTTAACTCTTATAGTAAAGGTTTTTTTTTTTTGTAGGTGGAACACTGTGATTAGATTACATCGTCCTCCCCGCCATCTTTTTTTTTTGTTTCTTTTATACTCTTGTTCTTGGATGCAAAGAGGGCACACCAGTGTTCCTATTTGTTCGACGAATGCTCGGGAGTGTGCAGCAAACGCCCTCATAACTGCGCTTCCAGACATCATAGGGCACAAGCGCATTGGGCGGTTTAGTTCTGAGATAGCCGGGCACCAAGGGCTTCTGAATCTGCTTGATGTTCACTGTGAGAATCTCATGGCGTGGAACAATATCCATGGCATCCGTGGCGGGATACTGGACACCTCTGTGCACGAGCGACGGGAGCGGTTTGGTGCGAATTATTTAGCGCGTATTCCCAAAAAAAGTTTCATCTCGTTTGTCAAGGAATCTGTCGAAGGTGATCGAATACTGCAACTCCTCATTGGTTCAGCGGTTTTATCCATTGTGGTAGGTATGATAACGCCGGAGTATCGTGAGGGAAACGCCAATCTAAGTACGGGATGGGTAGAAGGTGCGGCCATTTTTCTTTCCGTTGTCATCGTTGTGACATTGGGTGCGTTGAATAATTACAGGAAACAGGAACAATTTGCTCATATTATTGAAAGTGAGGATCAGACTAGGCAGCTTGTACTCGTTTGGCGCTATGAAACTGCTTCAGGCGGGGAGTTGCTTCTTCGACCGATGGAAATACGTAGCGAGGATGTTGTTGTGGGTGATGTTGTTCAAATTTCTGCAGGTATGGAACTGACGTTTGATGCCATCTTATTTGACAACCGTCACATTGTATGCGATGAGTGCAGTGTAACGGGTGAAAATGAGGAAATCGTGAAGGACCTCCATAGTGACCCCTTTTTGATTAGTGGGTCCAGTATTCTTGACGGTTCTTCAGATGCTGTCGCCGTTGTTTGTGCGGTGGGGGAACGCAGTTTTGCTGGAGAGATTGCCATGACAATTCATGGCACCGAGAAGAGGAATACCCCCCTACAGGACCAGCTTGAGGCGTTGGCAGAACGAATTGGAAAGTTTGGTTTATTGGCGGCCATATTAACATTTACGGCGCTTTTTCTAAAAGAAGCATATCGGATTGTGGTGTATGGAAGCCCATTCTCTGCCATGAAGTTTTTTGAAAACCTGACTACGGCCATTGCTATCGCTGTAGTCGCAGTACCTGAGGGGCTTCCTTTGTCGGTGACCATTTCACTTGCCTATTCCATGCGTCGCATGCTACAAGATGGAAATCTGGTACGACACTTGGCAGCGTGTGAGACTATGGGTGGGGCGACGGTACTTTGCACGGACAAGACGGGCACGATTACATTGCCCGAGATGAAACTTGCTCGTATTTTTTTTCAAGGTCACAGCTACTTGAGAGAGGGGAATAATTTAAATGGGATAATACCTGGCCTTGACGCCATTGTCACGGTTTCCTCTCCACACTCTGCTGCACACCTGATGGAGTGTGTTGCTGCTAATACCTTAGATCCGGAGTTGGGGCGAGTGCGCAGTAGAACTGGGGAAGCTTTAATGCAACTAAAGTCTAGTATTTGCATTGTTGCAGAGGATGGGCATATCACTCCCTTTTCCTATGATGAGGAACCACTGTTGGCCGTTATGCGCGATAAATCATCATGTGTTCGTTTTCCATTTAGTTCGCTTCAAAAAAAGAGCACGACGGTACTCAAGCTTCCAAATGGAATCTATCGCGTCTACGTAAGTGGAGCGCCTGAGATGGTACTTGCTTCATGTCAAAGTGTTGTTGTAGAGAATGGCCGCCTTGCCCCGCTGGACGATGCGCGTCGTGTGTACTATGAGAGTATTCTGCAAGACTATGCGGAGGCCGGCCTTCGTACCGTTTGCTGTGCCTACGGGGACATTAACCCTTTGGAAGAAGCTGTAGGACTCTCTGGCATGCCGCTTACTCCACCCAATATCCCGTTAACTTTCGTGGTGCTTATCGCGTTAGAGGAGGCAATTCGTCCCGAGGTGCCAAGGTCTTTGGAGCTGTGTGCCCGTGCTGGCCTGCGTGTGATTATGATTACAGGTGACGCGATGCTCACGGCCATCAATATTGCAGCCCGTTGTGGTTTACTAGATCTGGCGCGACCCTCAGATTTTGATACTTGTCACACTTCTTTGTCTCTAGGTTCGCCTGCGTCGTTGCGGGCGGTGGAAACTCTCATTGCGGAGGGTTATGTAATGAGTGGAACGGACTTTCGCAGCCTCAAAGATGAAGAATTTCTAGATAAATTCATGCTAAATATTTGTGTCTTAGCCCGTGCCACCCCACTAGACAAGAAACGCGTTCTGCGGCTTTTAAAGCTACACAACCCTCTGGCTGTGGTGGCAGTGACCGGTGATGGCACAAACGATGCCCCAGCCCTTAAATCGAGTGATGTGGGATTTGCGATGAATACTGGGAGTGATGTGGCAAAACGTGCCTCTGACATTGTGCTTCTTGACAATAATTTTGCCGGTATGGTGAAGGCAACCATGTGGGGCCGTAATGTAAAGGGCAACATCAGGAAGTTTCTGCAGTTTCAGTTAACTGTGAACTGTGTGGCGTGTTTGATTGCTTTCTCTGGGGCTCTCATGAATGAGCAAAATATGTCACCACTGAAGCCGGTTCAATTGCTCTGGCTCAACCTCATCATGGATACTTTGGCGGCATTGGCGCTCGCAACAGAGTTGCCTTCTGAGTCCGCGCTCCTCTCACGTCCTCCAGAGTCCCGTAATGCCCCTGTGATTCTTCCTAGTATGTGGTTTCAGGTGGCAACACAGGGCGGGTTTCAGTTTGTTTTGCAGATGCATCTCCTTTTTTCTGGTAATAAGCATTTTAAAACCAGGCATGTAGGTGAGGGACTGCCGGACATTTTCTCCAGTATTGAATACTTCGGACCCAAGCATCTCTCCATTGTGTTCAATGTGTTTGTGATCATGCAGGTGATGAATTTTTTTAATGCCCGCCTTTTAACTCAGGAGGAAACCTTCTTTGGGCGATGGGGAGATAGTTCAGGCCTGTTGCTGATTGTTTCTCTCATTGTGGTTTTGCAGGTATGTATTGTGCAGTACGGCGGTCGCCTGATGTCAACAGTTCCATTAACGGCATATGAGTGGATGGTCTGCGTCATGTATGCAATGTGGAGTCTTGTGGTGGGTGCGATATCACGGTGGTGGTGGTGGAAGGTGTTTCGTGGCAAAGTCCGTGGCACTGCACACTGGACGCGGTGGCACCTGGAGAATCTTTGCAACCCATCGATCGCAAAGCGCAGCTAGTGAAGATTTTAAACTGCTTCCTAAAAGAAATACCTGCGGGAACAGTAACAGTCGAAGGGTGACGATGTCATTGACTTTTCACACATACTTTGGAACTCTACCGTGGTGCGGAATAGCACTGGCGAGAGAAGGGGTGGGATGGACAAGTCGAGAAATGTGGTGGTGGGGAGTGGAAAGGAAACGAAGCGGGCATATGATACAGCGATTAAATGGCTTCCAAAAAGAAAAAAAAAGGGGTGGGGGGGAACATAAAAAAAGTTGTATGTTTTTTTATACTTTCGGCCGCCATGGGCGCGTGGCTGGGAGCTTTTGCTTATAATTATACATACGTGTACTTGTTTCTGTGTCCCGATATGTGTCAGTTGCGTCACAAACCTTTTGTTTGCTGGTGCTATCTTTCTTCTCTGTGTGCGCCACACATTGGATGCAAAACAACACGGAATGTGACAACCCTTTTGTGCACCGGTGTGTTGTTTTGTTTTGTTTTTTACTTGTTCTTTAGGGTTAGGAGGGGAAAGTTACTTTTTCCTTCTAGAGGCAGGTGGGTGGAAGGTGTGACCCTGTCGGGATAAGACGCCGAGGGTTCGTCTTGTTCGACTACTCAGATGTTTTATTAATTGATTTGAAATTTTAACCATGACCGTGTTGGAATACGGCGGGTGCAGCCTTTTTGTTGTTTCTGTTTCTGTTTTTCTCCGGCTGTGGTGTCATCACTCTAAAAACAGGCGCACATAGGAAACCTGAACTAGACGCGTTGGGGATGCTTTTGTGTCTCTGGGCTCTGTAGGGTTTCGCCTCCGAGTGTATAGGTGATTGCCTTCCTTGTTTGATGTTGTAAAACGCCAGAGTTTGTAGTGTGCCCATTGGGTACACACACGTTGGTTTGTTTTTCCATGAGTCTCTCTCTTGCTTTCTCTCTCTTTCCATGTCCGCGTGTATGTGTTGCCTGTTTATTTCCCTTTACTTTGGTGGGTATTACTTGTCCGTGATTTTAGTGTGATACGCACTCTATAGGAGCACGGATTGCGCTTCTCTGTGTGCACGTTCCCCCCCCCCCCTCTTTTTTTTTTTCTTTCTTATTGAGCTGTTAGGTGGTGCCGTTTTTTTGGAGTTGCTTGTGTGCGGGGATGCACGATCAACGGAAGGTGCGCCACGAGATTAACGAGGCGGCGCGGGAGCGCGATCTTGCCGAGGTGCAGGCATTCACCTCCCTCCATGACTCTATGCTGCGGCAGCGTGATCGTCAGATCTACTCTGAGGCGGTTTTGCAGCAGCTGTCGGAGCTGCTCTGCAAGAACCCAGAGGCGTACTCGATGTACAACTACCGACGCAATGTTCTGTTGCATCTCTGGAGGGAAATGCGGGAACAGCAGGAAGAAGACGTGAAAACAAACGAGCCCGCCAAGGAAATCGCATGCATGGAGGGGGGTGATACAGCGGTAAATACGTCGTTCCCCTCATCGCGGGTTGAAGAAGAGAAGAGGCAGACTGCTGTACAAAGAAAGATGGAGTTTCTCAAGGAAGAATTGAGGCTTAACTCAAAGATACTTCTTCGCGATTACAAGGTGTACGTCGCGTTTCTGCACCGGCGCTGGATTTTTGCGCAGCTCAAACGGTTTGCCAAAGATGCCCTTCTCACTGCAGATGCCGCTGGTGTCCCTGGGCAAGGCCCTTCTGTCAGGGTGGAGTGCCCTGAGGAGGTGCGTTTCTGGTCGTCCATCTTGATAAGGGAGAAGGAGCAGTGCGATGCGTTGCTTGCGGTGGATGAACGTAATTTTCACGCGTGGAACTATCGACGATGGGCGTTGAGCGAAATTGCATACATGGATAACCTCCTCGCGCACTGTTCCGTCGACACTGCTTCCGCCAGTTCCAAGAACCCGGCTGAGAAGGAGGTGCCCAAGGCGAGGCAGTTACAGGAACAGCAGCCTCAGTCATGTGGTGATGAGGGTGTTGTGGAACCGCGCGGGTTGTTTTTCACTCCTGATGAGCTGAAGGAGTTAAACTTTACTACAAAAATGGTGCAGAGAAACTTTTCCAACTACAGCGCGTGGCATCAGCGTGGATTAATCATAAAAACGGCGCTTCAACGTCTGCAGCAAAGGCTTGGGGATGATGTTATGCGTGATGCTACTTTGAGAGAGGCGTGGGAGCAGCTGGAGGAGGACTTGACGCTTTTTACCACTGCGATTTACTGTGATCCGTCGGATCAATCGGCGTGGTACTATGCTCAGTTTCTCAGAAGGGCAGCCGAAACTCTGGAACACATCTTACCTGCCCCATATGCTGCGTGTGACGACTTTATAATGCGTCCAATTCAGTCGTGTATAGAGCTTTTGACCGAAGAAAAGCGGCTTGGCGATGAGGCAGATATGTACTGGCCTCGCTACTACCTTTTTACCTCACTACTCGCTTCCTGCGTGTCCGAAAATAGCAATGACAACGTGAAGAATAGGACGGCGGCGGCAGTGACTGCATTGGTACGTGATATACGGAGAGCGTTATGCCCCAATGATTCACTCAGTGGCACTAGTGACATTGAGGAGGATCGTGGATGGTGCCTGCGGGAACTCGCTGCGGAGTTGGTGCGGGTCGACCCTATGCGTGCGGGCATGTATCAAGGTCTTCTCGCGACTTCCACCACTTGAGGTGTACCAACGAGCCAAATGACGGTGGTGGGTACAACGACGAAAGGCAAAACAAAACAAAACACGGTGTTAAGGACGCATAACAACACGGTGGTGGTGTGTGTGTGTGTGTGTGTGTGTGTGGAAGTGAAGGGCATCAACAGAAGGAGTGGAAATTTTTTTTTTACGATGAAATAAAGCGTCAGAAAAATACAACAAAATAAAAAGAATTTATTGTTATTGTTGTTGTTGTTTTTCCTTACGGTGAACATTAATGACTCTCCCTCGCAGCCGAGCGGGTTATTTTGTCGTTGCCTTCTTTTTGTTTCCCCTACCGCATTTTTGTCTTGCCTTAAAAATGTCCTTGTTTGTTGATTCCACAGAGGCTTTAACTTGGTATTTGCGCCAGCCTTTTTATTTGCTCATTCAGAGCAAAAAGGGAAGTCTGAGCGTGTTCCACTCCACACGTCCTTCCTCGTGAACCTGCAACAAATCACGGAAGAGAAATGGGATGCAAAAACTCAAAGGCGAAGGGGCCGACTACGCAGCCACCCACCACGAAGCAGGATAACACTCCAACCCCCAACATCTCCACTGTGCCCGCTGCCGCTCCTACTGAACAACGCGCAAAGCAGCCTAATGAGACGAAAAAAAATGAGGCCACAACCTTTGTGGGTCGCGCTGGCAACGGCGAGGTGACTGACACTGGATCACCGGCCGGGCCACGGAAGGTAGTTGCAGGCCAGGGCGGCAGCGACAACAAGCGTGCGGCATCAAACGCCACCTCAAAGCAGGAGGTTGATGACGAAGGCAATCCACTGATTTTGCCGAACGGTAATTGGGTAAGGACGGACGGTACACCCTTCTACTACTCAGAGCAGGAGAACCTATACTTCCACCCTCCTAGCTGCCAGTTCTATGACCCGACGAACGAGATGTGGTACGATCCGGAGAAGGATGAGTGGTACTACGACGAGGAAAACGAGGCTCAGTCGTAGAGGGATCACCCTTTTTTTTTTTTTTTTCTGAAGGGGAAGAAAAAGGAGTGAGTATAGATGGGAACAAGGAAGGGGAGAGGGGAACCAGGAGGTGCAAGGAAAAGAAATAAACTGAGAAGGGATGAACTGACACACGGGGGGAAAAGCAGGCGAGCGGATTGAACATGTCATGGGCGAGACTGAACACTGGTGTAAAAAAAAAAAAAACGCGACTTAAACGAAAAAAAAAGTAGGATATGGGCTGTTGATGAAATTTTGTGGTGGTGGGAATATGTGCTTCTCGTGGGGATGCAAACAAGGATCGCACCTTTTTCAACGCCCCTCCACTCCTTTTTCCCTGCGTATAACATGTACTATGCAAGGAGGTGAAGGAGATTGTGACGGTGTTAGCCCGCGATTAATACATGTCGTTTTTTCGTTTGATGGTTTTTTCCCACATTTTGCATTTGACGTATCGCATGCACTCATCTAGAGGCATACGCCCCAAAGGTATGAGGGAAAAGAGGATTGCCGTGAGAGAGGGGCACGTGAGGAGCACCAGCTGGAAACGCACACGGGAAGGCAAGAAGGAAGAGAGAAGGGACGGGATTACCTGACGCGTGCTGCACGTATGTAGCGATTTCTTGTTTTGTTCATGTTAATATATATATATATATATATATATATATATTATGGCGTTCTCCTTTTCCTCGTGCTGTTGTTTTTGTTTTTGTGCTAAACGGGAACTGTTGTGACGTGAGGAGGACAAGCAGGGAAACGGAGAAAGAAGAGAGAAAAATAAATAGTGAAGGAGGGCAAAATGAGCAGAGGAACAATAGCTTCAAGCCACAGAAACGAGGGGGGGGGGGAGGGGAGGAATTTGGACGGAATGCGAGCAAAGTCGCAAATGAACACAGTAATACCTTTTTTTCTGCTCACTCAGAGAAACAAGATAATACGAACAAAAGCAGGGACACTTTTTTACTGCATGTTTCTATATGCGTACAGCATGGTTTTTTCTTGGACCCTCCTCTTTTTACTCACTCTCATTTTTTTTTTCCCAAGGGGGTTTCCCTTACTACTAGTCGTTGTTATATTCGTTGTTTATTATCTACGTTCCACGCACGCACACACATATATCTAACCTTTTTTCTTTTTGTTGTTGCGTGTGGGCGTGCTGCTGAGAATGGAGAGAGATAGAGAGATGCATGGGTGTGGGCAGTTGTGCGTGCGTAGAGCATCTGTGTCTGTGTCAGTTTGTGCAGTTGCCGATGCAATCAATGCTGTTTTTTTTTTTCTCACACATTGTTTGCACTTTTAGGCGTTGTAGAACTTTCTGGATTTGTTTCAAATAGCTTTCTCAACCACCCTTTTTCCTTTTCTTTTTGTTTGGCGAGTAGAGGAGTCTGTGTGTCTGAAACCTTGCTTCGTGGCACACATATATATATATATACCTACATATATATATATATATAATATATATATATATATATATATATGTGCCCCTTCGTAAGAGAGAAGGGCTAGAAGAAATAGAAAGGGTTGATGAAAGGGCCGTATATATTTATATGTGTTGAGAAAAGTGTACCAGAAACGGCAACGGAACAAAGGAAACAGCTTCTGTGTGGATAATACCCTCGGTGATGTTAACAATTTGTCGCTTATTTTTACTTTTATTTTGCCTCTTGTCTGTATGTCTGTGCGTTGATTTGTTTCTTGTTTTTTACCTGATTGCTTGGGTTGCGGTCCTGTCCCTTCTGAGGGCGATGCGCCTTTTAGACTGTGTTTTTGCTGATTGCACGGAAATACTCGGCAGGCTGCAAGGGAATGGCATTCATCTCCCCGGGTCCGTACTTTTACGACAATGAGATTGACCGCATGCTAGCGGAGATGCGTGTACGGCGGCAGCAGCAGAGGCACATGAGTAGGCAGCGACAAAACCCCGCTGATAACAGGCGACGGAAGATAAGTGTCACCCCCGCAGATCTATTTACTTCGTTGCTGGAGCGACAACAGTCCACGGAGGCGGCTTGGCGGTGTGCCTGCTATCTACCGAAGACGTCATTATTGAAAGTGACTAAAGAAGGAGAACCTGTGCCACCCCATCATTTTACTGCCTGTACCAACCCACGGCTTCAAGAAAAAGCTGAGATCAGAGACGACACAAGTACTGACGTCTCTAACGACGAGTCATTGACAAAATGTCTGCGACGCGAACTTTGTCTGGCACGGAACGAGAATGCACTTTTGCGACGGGATATGTACAGAACACTCACCACCATAGGCAACTATCTTGCCCAATTTGACGGCAAAGGGAGAGTTGGTCCTGCACTTTACATGGACAGTGGTGAGACTGGAAACACGGCGGGGCACGAGGATCATGATTCCCCTCTTCCTCCAGCAACAAGTGTGTGGGAGCTGTGCGACCGTGGAGTACTCCGTCTCAGTTCTGAGGATGCGGCATTGGTGCGAGACCTTAATGTCATTATTGCGACCTCTCTGGAGCGCTACGTTGGCCCGGAAAAGTCCTTTAAGCAAGGTCATCACGTTCTGCAGCTGGAAAAGGGCCAATGCTGTGATGAAGCAGCCGTCCAAGAGCATTGAAGGAGCTTACAAAAGTAAAAAATGAATACGAATACAACAAGTCTGAGGTTTGGTTGTGGGACACCTTGGGAAGAGCATTCCTCCTCAATTCTTGAGATTAACTCTCATACTTCCTTTCATATACTTATACTGCCATGAGAAAGGAAAAAAAGTGTAAAAACAAAGCAAAACAAGACAAAAATATGTCTAATGGAGTCTGCTATCGTTTGTGTAAGTGAGTTTTCCACGTTCCCCTTGCTCACCCGCACGCACTCCTCTTTTTTATCGTTGCATTGTTGTTTGATTGTTTTTGTTGCTGTGTGCGTTTTTGTTTTCTTCATTTCTCACCATCTGCCTCTTACTGCTGCGGATTTGTTTTCTTGGACGGCTATAGTAAAAAAAAAAAAAAACAATATATGTGTAACTATATATTTGATCACTCACTTACGCTTTAATAGTAGAAACAGATAAAAAAGAGGGAAAATAGTGGTAGAAGATGCTGCCTGCTGCAGTGGATTCTCACGTCGGAGCATCCGTGTCGGAGCCGCATGCATGTCTGTGCATGCATGGCAAAAACCGAAGCGGCAATCTAGGTGCGCTTCAAGCGGAGGGAGAGGAAGCGTTAGAAACCAGCAGCGACAATGAAGAGATGCAGTGTGCTGCGACACTGCGTCTCCACGAGGACTACCCAGAGCCTCTAACCAGGGCTCAACGCGAGTTACTGTACCGGCACACTGCGACGATGGTTCATCGGTTTGAAATGTTGCGTAAAGGCACGCGCATTGTTGAGCGAGGCTACAACAGCCTTAAGTCTCTTCTCGCCAGACTAGAAGAGGAACGGACACGTCTGCAGACCTCGCTGGATGAATTGCTAAAGCAGGAGGAAGCAGAAAGTTCAGCTACAAGCCACACCGAATCAACTGCGAGCCGCACAGAGGCCAAACCGACCCCAAGCAGGAGACGTCCAGGTGGCCTGTTGTGCTCTGCGGCGTTTGCGAACATGCACAATATCCTTAATGCCGCAAAGCGTGAGGAGCAACAACAGCGGTTAAATGTCACGCTAGGGCGAGAGAAAATTGGCAAAACGACGCAGCTTAAAATTATAAATGATGACCTTGCAGAGCAGAAGCAGTACCTTGCCCCACTCACCGAGAAGTATGAGAAGAGTCGTGCCCTGTTAGAAATGACAAAGGGCAAGGTATTGGAGGTTTTGCGGCTTTACGACGAGATGCATCGGATGGAGGTTCTGTATGCGTCGCGCTTTTTTTTACGCGCTTCTGGTGCTCAAGGAGGCGAGGAGGGGGCAGAAACTGCGGCGTATGATGTCTTTTTTGCCCCAGCGAGGTACACAGATGAGGTGCAAGACATGATCCGTGAACAGGTGGAGGAGACGCTTGGTGAGTATCTTGCCTACCGCGCTCGCGTTGACCCGGTGCTGGAGTCGCTTGCGGAGGAGCGGCGCAATCGGGAGGCAAAGCGGGCAGACCAGCTGTTGCAGCTTATTGGTGTTGATACAGAGAACATTAAGGTGGCGGCGTCCGCCGATTTAGGTTTTGCGACATCACTGGTGACGACAACCATAACTGACGCGACACCTCCTGCGTTGAAGAAGAAAGATGGAACCACTGCGGTGGCCGGCCAAATCAGCGATACGGAGGATGACTACGATGATAATGACCCAGGGGATGAGCCGCAGGAAAGGAGGCAACGTGACCAGATTCAGTCCGCGCTGGCCGCGCTTGATGACTTTGAGGAGCTCTATTGAGGAGGCAGGAGACAGGGAGTTGGCGGTGGGGAGAAGGAAAAGAAAAATATCCGGATGAGGTTTAACACACAAACAATCAAAAAAAAAAGGTTTTACGTCCTTGTCTAACCGAAGAGAATAAATGAAAATAGCCTTTGCTTCATGTTTTGTTTTGTTTTTTGTTTTAATTTTCTGCGAGTTGTATCGAGTTGTGGGGCCGGCAAGGCCTTTTTTTTTTTGGTGGTGGTGGCGGTGGTGCGTTACAGGTAAACAAACTGGAGGATGATTCCAAGGCTAAAACAGTATGAAGATAGTCCCCCATGCCGTCACAATATCATTACAGTGGCCACTCCCGGTATCACAGCTCAGCGGTCCCAGCTCTCGCGCTACACTGGCGTGGATGGCGTAGATGTTCTTGAAAATACGTGTAGCTGGCGACCTCATGTTGGCTTGGTGGCAAGCGAAGACCATTCAGAAGCCGAATTGGTAGCCTTTCAAATGGGGCATGAAAAGTGTATGCTGACAGCAGAGGAAGACCCTCCTTTGCTTTACCATGCTAGCTGTCGTGTGGCACCGAGGCTTCTGCACAATGTTATGGCATCTCCTGAAATGGACGAGATAGTGTATAACAAGTGCAGCTTCAACCCCTTGCATTGGCTCTTGATGCTGAAGGAGATATTTACGTCTATTGCCTTCTCCGTTCACCCTAGGCGTTGTGCATACTCACAGATGCGGATGACAAACATCGGTGGAAAAAGGGACCAGGCGGTATGCCAGAGGGAGATTCGACGAGCAGTTCGAATCATAAATAAAGCTACGGCTATCTCACAGGGTGACAACGACGTTGCGCCGCACTCATTACCAGGGCGATTACTTCCTTTGAAACTTGTGTTGTTTGGTTGTAGTCGTGGGGCTACCACCACCTTTTACACAGCGATGAAACTACCGCTTGAATTGGCACAGTACGTCTCTCTTGTTGTTGTTGAGGCGCCATTTGATACGCTGCATAATGTGATTGCATCATCGTGTTGGTTTCCACGTTTTTCGTTGTGGTTTGTTCGAAATTTCTGTGACTATGATGGGGATGAACCGTATTCCTTTGACCCTGATCGGGTGCAACTTCGCTGCCCCATCGCATTTGTGATGTCAACACAAGACACCCGGGTTCCAAACAAACTTACACATCGACTGATTGACACTGTGAAGCGAGAGTGTCCACAGATCCCTGCAGTGGAGGTGTTGCAACTGAAACACAGTCGCCATCCACTGATGGCTGTGGGGAATCGTGAGGACCAGGATGCGTACGTTGCCTTTATGGAACGACTGTACGATACCTACTGCAGTTGAGACGATGTTTTTTTTTTTTGTTGTTGTGGGTCTGTGCTGGTAGTGGGGTGGAATGCGCCAGCACGGTGGAAACAACAGGAGACGAAGGGTGTGGGATTGGCGTGGATCTTGCCGCATTTATTATTTTTTTTTGTGGTTGCGTAACCGACGATGTTTCCCTAAGGGGGAAATAAAAAATGAAGGCGAGAGCGTCCAAATGTTCTTGCCCATTGTGGGAGGGGCTGCCACGGCTGCGCTGCTTGTTTGCTCGTTTGGTTGCGGCCGCGTTGTTTCATTGCTCACCCACACATTTCCACCAATACGCCTCATTTTTATTTTTGTTTTTCCTCGATCGTCGCATGACTCTCTTCAGTAGAAAACAAACAAACAGGGAGACGCAAAGTGGCAACTTGTTCCTCGTTTTGCACAAGGAGGATTGAAGGTGAAGGGCACACCCAATATATATATATATATATATATATATTTGTCTTTTGAAGTGTTTGTGGCTCTCTCTTTCTGTGTACTGACCTGCTGTGCGCCCGTGGTTAAGAGAGGTGGAGAGGGAGGGGGATGTCTTTCTTTACACCCCCACTTGTGGCTGAGGAAATAGCGGAGAGATGTGACGACTCCTTGCTGTCGTGCTCCTCCCAACTTCCCCAGGACATTGAGGCCACGTCGCTGCGGAGGCGTTTGTGGACGATGATCTCGAGGAAACACCACCGCTTTTATTTGCCACATGAACGCTTGAAGATGGAGCGGTATGAGTCTGTAGATACACATGAACCTGCAACGATAGTTTACAAGGACCACCTGGAGAGCCGCAGCCAAGAACCTCGTTGGTTCATATGGGTATTTGTGTTTGTATTAGGTATTGCGTCGAGCGTCATCGCCATTGCAGTAGTTTCTCTGTTGCATGTACTGAACGGTATACGCTACGAATTATTAGGCTTTGGACTTAGAGGGTTTTCATTTAGTGATCCAAATCGATATGCAATGACAAACCGCACGGACCTTGATGTTGTTGCCCTCTTTGAAGGTGCTGATGTTGGCCTATACGGTATTGAACCGCGCTCCACCGCGAAAGGGTACTTAATGTGGATTTCGTTTAGTATGGTATTATCGGTGATTTCAAGCCTTATATGTTACCTCGTCCCTGAGAGCATCGGGTCCGGATTACCTGAGGTGATGGCGTACCTGAATGGTGTTAACTATCCTATGCTGGATAGTTTTAAAGTGCTTCTGGCAAAGGTGGGTTTCATTGTCTTCAGTGTTGCAAGTGGGGCATGCACAGGGCACTGTGGCACACTTATTCTAACAGGTGCCATGCTTGGTGCCCAGGCTCTTCGACGACGTTCTTTTCGATGTGACAGTGTAACTGTTATCGAATGCTTTCGTAACCCGCGCGATCGTCGAATTATTATTGTGATCGCGGCAGCAGCAGGGGTTGCCTCGGCATTTGGTGTGGCTATTGGTGGACTGATGGTAGTAATGGAACTTATCTCTACTATTCTTCCCGTGCGGTTTGCCCTTTACGTCTTTGCTGCGTCTTTAGTATCCTCCTTGACGCTGCAAACATACTTCTCCTTCTTCGCATATTTCAGTCTTCGTGACCGCCAATCCTATCCGCAATGGGAACTCATCTCTGAGATGGTTCAGTCCTTTGTTTCTCGCGTGCCATTTGAGACGGTGGTGCGGATGCATATTGTCTACTTTATTCCAACAATTGTTATTGGTTTTTTTTGTGGTTTAGCTGCGGTTCTTTTTGTCCGATTAAGCTGTCTCGCGCTGAAGTTTCGGCGTTGGCTGGAGTGGAGCCTGAAGACAAAAGCTGTCCGATATGTGTTGCCTGTGCTTTTTACAGGCGTTTACGTGTCAATCAACTACTGGGTGGTGGTTACGATGGGTGGCGGCGGATGGTCACCACCCGCCCCGGCCCCGTCAATCCCGCCAGGGGTTGAAAACAGTCGCATGCAGATGACCACATTACAGCAAACTAAGAATGACAATTTCACCCTCTTTAGGGTTCGTAATGCGATGGGCGGGCCATGCGTAGCTGTTCCCTCCACTTTGATTACAACCCGAAATGTGACGGTTGTTGCGTACTATGGGGCCAATGGATTTTTCTGCCAGGCTCCCACTTTCACAGGAGAGGAAAGCAATAACGAGGTGTGGCATGAGAAACCAATATTGAGCGTGCTTCATGCCTACGCCTCGCTTGCCTTTGCCAATGCTGACTCCGTGGTGCAAACTCTACTTAGTTGGCATACTGAAGAGATGTTGGGTGCGTTTGTGCTCTTGATTTTTTAAACCAACTATTTTCTTGCTTCCGCGTTATTTCTTGGTGTATCGCTGGGTGGCGACACACTACTTCCTGGACTTGTCATTGGTGCTGCAGTTGGTCGATTGGTTGGAATTGGTGTTCACTACGCGGCGATGTCTGTTGTAGGGCCCCATGCGGCCTCTGTCTGGGCGGATCCAGGATGTTTTGCTCTCATCGGTGCTGGTAGTTTTCTAGGTGGCACGACGGGTCTTACCTTTTCTATTTGTACGATTCTGATGGAAACCACTAGCGACTTTCAGCATCTTCTACCGCTTATGATGGGTATTACCATTGCCAAGAAGACAGCAGAAATATTTACACAAAATATTAATGCGATTCTACTCCAAATGCGTTGTGTGCCTATGCTTGACTTTGAGAATGAAATTCATAAGTACCCCATGTTTGACGCTTGTCATGTGATGGCATCACCTGTTGTGGCATTGGAGACTGTGTGCACGATTGGGCGTATTATTCACGTCTTGCAAAGCACCCGCCATAACGCCTTTCCTATTGAAAGCGTGCGTGATAGAGTATACAAGGGTATCATTGTGCGACAGCAACTGGAGGTTCTCCTTTGGCACGTGCATTTCACGCCATACCCTTCTACCTGTACCTATGAATTTGGGAAAAAAGTGGAGGCCCGTCTGTTTTACGATAATTTGTTGGGTACTGTGCCGCCGTTAGAAACGCGACTAGAGGTTCGAATTGATCTTTCACCCTACATTGATCATTCTGGTTTTTGTGTGCTCGAAACTACGACACTTCCGCGGACCTACACTATGTTTCGCACTCTCGGCCTACGCCATATGACTGTCGTCAACTCCGAAAACCACATCGTTGGCATTATTACTCGGAAGGATCTGGTGACGGATCGCATTATCGAGGGCATTGTCGCCGCCAAGGCTCGTCGTATGGTTCTAGAGCAAAGACACCGCGAGACCTCAGAGAGATCGTTTGTCGTACCAAACAGCATTGACAACAACAAGGAGGACGAATATAAAAGTGACGGCGATGCATGGAATTCGCTGAATGTCTTGAGGAGTCCTTCAAGGGAAACGGACGTAACGGGGAGGGGACACGAGTTTTACCGTATAGGGGAATGGATCGTGGTGGGGAGGTATGAGGGGGGTTGGGCGGAGGCTGCGGAATCAAAAGAAGCATTCATGCATCCTAGTGCAGCGAAGGTGGCTGCCATCCGTGCCCAGGCCGAAAAAAAAAATAGTTTACGTCGTGAATATGCTAAATTTGACGGTCCAAATGGGGAGAAACGCAGGCGTATGGTGGACCAAGAGGCGATACCACCGTCGGTGTTGTCGCCCGATAGCTCTCACTGCGTTTAATACCCTATTCCATTCTGTGTCGGAGATGCGGTTGCCTAAGCATTCAATGTCGAATGTCACGACGACGCATTTTGACCTCACGTCTGTGTCTTCCTCCGTGGAGTACTTCTCGCGCTGGCATGGTATGGTAACGCCACAGAGGGCAGACAACGCGGCATCGTTGGCGCGGCCAACTCGGGAAGACCAGCAGGCACGCTCCGTGCTGTCGCCACTGTAGTCTTCCAGTTTCTCCGCACAAGGTATGTTGGCATCTCGGTGGTCGTTTGACGAAAAGGAGCGACGAGGAGAAGGGCAAAAGGTGAGTCCTGCTGTTGTTTTTCTTCTTGGCTGTGTCAGTAGCACTGTGTCTTTTAATATTCTCACGACCTTATTTATGATACTCATTTTATGTTTGATTACTCCACGCCGTTGGGACCTCGCCAGCAGAAGGGTGTAAAGGATTCTACTGCAATGGGGAGTTTTGATCTGCTAGCGCGTGGTGCTACGTCGGCACCGGTGCATTCATTACTTCCTCTGGGGTGATGTACCTCCACCTACGCATCATTCTACAACCCGTTTTTTTTGGGGGGGGGGGGGGGGG